GAGAAGAAACTATTCGGAAACTAGTAAAGCCTAATACAGTTGTACTTTTCTCTTTGTAGTTACCTTGAATTTCTACAAACTCTTGAACAGAAGGTGGATCAAGACTGGGAAGGAATCTCATCCTCACTTGAAGAAATCAGAAGATCCCTCCTTTCTAGGAATGGTTGCATAGTTAATATGACTGCTGATGGAAAGTCCCTCACAAGCACGGAAAAATTTGTTGGAAAATTCCTTGATTTACTCCCTGAAAATCCGTCTGGTGGACTTGTCACTTCGGTTGCACGACTTCCTTTGAGAAATGAAGCTATAGTAATACCAACGCAGGTAAATAAAAAGGAAAACCCATCTGTATATTATGTGTCCTTGGGTGTGTATTATTAGTATACCACAATTTTCACTCATGCCCTCTCGACAGGTGAACTATGTAGGAAAAGCGGGTAATATATACAGCAGTGGCTATCAGCTTGATGGGAGTTCATATGTTATATCAAAGCATATTAGTAACACATGGTTATGGGATCGTGTTCGTGTAAGTGGTGGTGCATATGGAGGCTTCTGTGATTTTGATTCACACTCAGGTAAGACTGCTTTCCTTTTCCTTTTCTTTGATTGGAGAGAGTTTTCCTAATTATACGAACTTCTCCTTCAGACCTGACCTTTGGAGTTTCTCTTGTTCAGGAGTATTTTCGTTCTTATCTTACCGTGATCCCAACTTACTGAAGACACTAGAAATATATGATGGAACTGGAGACTTCTTACGTGGCCTTGATGTCGATGAAGACACTCTTACTAAAGCAATTATTGGGACAATTGGAGATGTTGATTCATACCAGCTCCCTGATGCCAAAGGTTATAGCAGGTAATGATGTCTAATTCTTGCGGGTTCCCTAGTCTTTGTCTGCTTATTTTAAGCAATCTAATCGATTGTGAATCTAATAATTTCTCATCTCTATCTATCAACAGTTTGTTGAGGCATTTGCTTAACGTAACCGACGAAGAGAGGCAGACAAGGCGTGGAGAGATATTATCAACTAGGTTAACATCAATCTCTCGTTTTTGCTTTAGCTTAAATATATGTCAATTCAAACATATCTTGCAAACACGTTGTTATTCTCGAATAGAATTGAAAACTAACTTCCTTTTTTGTTTTATCTCACAGTTTGAAGGACTTTAAGGAATTCGCAGAGGCGGTAGACTCTGTTAAAGATAAAGGCGTTGCAGTGGCTGTGGCATCACAAGAAGATATTGATGCAGGAAACAAAGAACGCTCCAACTTTTTCGAGGTGAAGAAAGCTCTCTGACTCTGACACTCTTAAAAAAAGTAGGAAGAACTCTTCTTTGGTTCATGGTATGACGCATCAAATCCTCTAGGCTCGTAATTTTTGTGGGTTCTACATCTCGGTCTTTACAAAGTTATATGACAGCATCATATGATTTATCACAGTAGAAAATAGAAATGAAGCGTTTTTAACCGTTCACTTTATGAAATTAACCAAATTGCTAAAACGTAGGCTTTAGCTTCCGCTCTTTAAGAACAAGCTCTCCAGGATTTTATTTGTACCTGTTAGGGTTTAAATCTACTCTTGTCTTGTTTGATTCACATTTGGTTCAAAATGATAGAATCGGATAAGCGTTAGCTTTATTACTGGCTGGGATTGAACCGCATTGCTTGCTAAAAACAAATGTCTCTCAATCTTCCATTTCTCTTCGGGTAAAAGAGGCATCTATAACACAACTCATCATGTGTCCCCTAATCTTGTCAGTGTCATGCTTTCTCGTGTGTCTCATGCTTCATATGTTTTGTTTTTGAGTTAGTTTTAAAAAACAGTTCGAAGTGAAATTGAAACTTTTAGTGCATTGGCATCAAGAATCTCTAGGTTACTTTTTGGAGTAGATTAATCTTTACATTTAACTTTTTTGATTAAGATCAATTCATAAAGATACTTTAATGCTACATATATTTTTTTGAACCTTTTTCATCTCCTCCTAGACAGTGGTGGTCTTTGAAAGTTCTGATTACATGCCAAAAAAACTTTAAATACTTGAATTGAACGTAAATTTTATTAATTAAAAAAAATAATCCATTTCTGCCAAAAATTTTATCAAGTCTCCTTTAGTCCTTTACTAATATCAATCACAAGTAAATTATTAACTCGGTAAGGCAATTTCATGGGCAGAAATAATTAATTCACTACAAATATACGACCAACTCAAACCTTCACAACAGCTTCAGCAGATCCGTATTATTCTAAGACTTCGTATATTCGTACTAGCTAGCCGCAATATCCGAAATCAAATAACAAATATAATCGACATTTATTTCTCACCCTAAGTAAAGGCTTGCCAGCACAATCATTGTGTAACGGTCAATTATTTACCTCATTTATTTTTCACTACGAAATTTATCCAAAATGGTCCCAACTTATTAGAAGAGGGAAAAAAAACATGACATTTATACGTGTAAATTATTTTAACCTATTTTGGACATATGTATAGATTCCCTGTAAGAGCTGGATATTTAGATGGTTTTTTGTTGTCATTAATAATTACTGTTTTGGATAATTACATTTATTAGTTCTGTCTCCAAGTGGGCAATTCGTAAAGAAGTGAATGCTTTTAGGGTCACTGACAAAAGAAAAAATTACCAGCACGAATTAGAATTTATTAGGCTCTAATCTCACGCGGATTCTCTCCTCGTACATATAAGACTTTAAATAATTATCAATCCGATGATTTTCTTGTACTTCGGTGACTTTGTATCTTGAAAACAATTCTGTTTGTTTAGGTTCAATTTCAAAGGATATTATTGTACACTTAAATGTTATAATATGATCAAAAAGCTTGCATTTTTCTTTGTGTTTTCTCTAGGAATTTAGAAAAAAAGGATAAAGATGAGATTTTTAGAAAAGAACATGTTCTTACTTAAATTCATTAGTTCCATACTTTCATTACATATATAGACTAAGAGAATTGCTCTCCAAGGCAATATATGTCCCTTTCTAAACAACAGCAGCTCTTATTCTTCCATGTACCTACCTCTTCTTGGATTGAATGATGTCAACAACTATGCTTGGGGAGCAGCTATGTTGGCGAATATGAAAGAATCTCTAGAAAAAGTGAAGAAAGTTGGGAAATTCACAAGCTTATGTGGTTTTTCGTACGCTCTCACGGTAAGGTCTTTAAAAAACAAAAGGTAATTAATATGATTCATAATAAATCAATGATGTACAATAACAATTATTGTTCTTCATCTTTTTCTTATAGGTATTTGCATTAATTAGAGCGGTTTTCATGCCTTAGAGAAAATGTGGATCATCATCTCTATATTCTCTACCATCCGGATTTCTCTTGATTTTGGGGTGGATGGAGGCGTTGTGTAAACCGAATAAAGACACGAAGAATGTAAAGTCTGTGGGATACTACAAAAAGAAGCTTCAAGACATGGAAGAAAAAGACGTAAAACCTTAAACTCTTGTTTCTGTTTTTAAATACATATAAATTGAATATATATCGTTATAAATTGAATATATATCGTTTTTAACTAAATATTTCACTAAATAATTTCATAGGTTGTGTGGCAGCCTTATAACAATCGTGACTTTAAACTGTCGGAGAAGTATGCATCTCAGTTGCCTATGGTCTTTTCAATAATACGAAGTACACAAAGACAAACAAAAAAATCAACTTAAATAATCAACTCACCTCAGGAACACTTGTCACCTCATCTCGAGCAATTTCACAGATAAAATTTTCATATCGCTTAGTCCACTCCCCAGCCACGAATTTGTAGTAAGAGTTGAAAGATTGCCAATCTTTGTTTTTGTGTTTGCTTAGTTTCAATTTCCTCCCTTTCTTAATCTTTGGCCACGATGTTTTGACTTGCGACTTCTCTAATCCTAATTGCTTAAAACATACATCTGGACTATTATACGCACCTTCATTAAAGCATGAACATGGTGTGCGTGAAAAGACCATAGGCAACTGAGATGCATACTTCTCCGACAGTTTAAAGTCACGATTGTTATAAGGCTGCCACACAACCTATGAAATTATTTAGTGAAATATTTAGTTAAAAACGATATATATTCAATTTATAACGATATATATTCAATTTATATGTATTTAAAAACAGAAACAAGAGTTTAAGGTTTTACGTCTTTTTCTTCCATGTCTTGAAGCTTCTTTTTGTAGTATCCCACAGACTTTACATTCTTCGTGTCTTTATTCGGTTTACACAACGCCTCCATCCACCCCAAAATCAAGGGAAATCCGGATGGTAGAGAATATAGAGGTGATGATCCACATTTTTCTCTAAGGCATGGAAACCGCTCTAATGCAAATACCTATAAGAAAAAGATAAAGAACAATAATTGTCATTGTACATCATTGATAAATGATTTATTATGAATCATATTAATTACCTTTTGTTTTTTAAAGACTTTATGTGAGAGCGTACGAAAAACCACATAAGTTTGTGAATTTCCCAATTTTCTTCATTTTTTCTAAAGATTCTTTCATATTCGCCAACATAGCTGCTCCCCAAGCATAGTTGTTGACATCATTTAATCCAAGAAGGGGTAGGTACATGGAAGAATAAGAGCTGCTGTTGTTTTTGAAATTTAAACATTTGCTACCATGCGGGAAAAAAAATTTTCACAGCTCACAGGGAAACGACGACGTTTCTCATTGCTTTGAAATGAAGCTAAAAACGGCAAAAAAGGACGCGTCGTTTCGAATCCCGACGGCGTCTGCGTAGGAAAGCGAAGCTCCGTAACGGCGCCGTGACCTGCTTCCCCGTGAACGGAACCGAGAGAGGACCCCACTCAAACCGGTACACAACGGGCCCATCCGCTAGCCAAGCAAAAAATAAAATCCCAGCCGTTGAAATAATCAACGGCTCCCGATCCTTCTTCTTCCTTCCCCAAATACCCAAAACCCTTCCTCTGTTTCTTCATTAACCAGAAAAACCCAATAAATTTTACAACTTTCCAGCGAGAACGATGAACGAGATGAGCGAGAGAAAACCCATAATGTTCAAGAGAAATTCTGGAGAATCTGAGCTCGAAGGATCAAACATCAAGAAGATAAGACTCGACGATGATGACGATTTAGCAGATTCTGAGGTTTTACGCTCACTGGAGAGAACGTTTTCTTCTTCTCTAGCTTACTCTGCTTCAGATTCTGGAGGTTTCTCCGCCGAAGACGATCATCGGAGCTCAAGCGTCAGCACCGGCTGTTCAAGCAGCGAAACTAACGAAATCGCTTCAGATACTCGTCTGCCATTTTTAGATCTGGAGGTGAAATTCGAAACTCGAGTTCCTCTGTACATTTCTTTTTTTTTTTCGATTTTCGTCTCGCACACACAATAAATTCTCTGAAGTTTTTTCTTACACTTTCTCTAAAATAAAGATCTTGTTACGTTTTGCTTTCACAAACTAATTTATTTAAGTTCCTAATACAAGCAGCTAATTTTAATTGATTGTTTTCTTCTTTTAATTTGTGGTTTCCGTTTCAAGGCTCAACAAATCTCCGAAGCCGAAATCTCGACGTTAGGGACCAACAATTTCAGGTTACTTATTTGAGAAACGTTTTCCATAATTTTTTTTTTGGGCTATAAATTCGTCTTCTCACGTTCTTATTTTTTTATTTCTCGGCGTTTTACAGAGAAGAAGGAAGCCAAGTAATAAGCGAGATTCTTGGAGAAACAGCTGAAATGGACTCGGCGACGACGGAGAGAAGAGATGATCAGCGAAAAGAAAGGAAGAAGACGGAAAAATCTCCGACGCAGGCTGAGCTTGACGACTTCTTCTCGGCGGCGGAGAGATTTGAACAAAAACGATTCACAGAGAAGTGAGTTTCGATTTTTTTATGAAATATGCGCAAGATATCAAAGTATTTATTCATAAAGTGCGCATCTTAGCGAAAAGATATTTAAGCGTGCACTTTTGTAACTAGTACAGGTACAACTACGATATCGTTAATGATACGCCGCTTGAAGGTCGGTACCAGTGGGTTAGTCTCAAACCTTAAAAGGCAAAGAGAAGAAGAAGAGGAAACAGAAGAGACAATGCTAAAGTTACACGTCGTAGTACTGTGACTTGTCACAGACATGGAATCGTAGGAGTTTTATTTCATTGTACAGTCCTCTAATTTTAGTTTCATAATTTAACGATCTTATGTTCTTCGTACCCAGAGAGAAAAGACGCAGCTTTTTTGTTTTTACTTTTTAGTGATCGAAATTTTTCAACAAGTAGAAGTCTTTTTTTTTTAATCTTGAGTTGATTTTTTCAATGAAATTTACAAGGTGGGGTTACAAGAAAAAAAATATTGGACTTATTGTGTCAGTAAAGTATCACTTTTTTTCAGTTTTTGTAGAGTTGGTGTTGTGCATATTATTAGCATTTCATGAATTGGGAGCTTCTAGAGTATGTGTGAATTTGGAAAGCTATTTATTGTTTTGATTCTCGCTCTGGATTTATAAAAATTGTTTGTCCTTCCTTTGTGTGTTCTTTGTTTCTATTGTAAAGTTTTCTTTCCCAGTTTTTCCGTTTTGCATATTTCAGTGAAGTAGTAGTAGTAGTTTTCGCCTTTAAAAAAATGTTTTCAATAACAAAGAAATAAAAAATAATGATGGTTTTAATCAACAAACAAAACTTTGAATTTGAACGCGGAATTACAAAGGAGTATCATACAGTTGGTATGTACTTTTTTATTTTTATATAGTTAAAAATGAATATTCCTCAAATTACAAAAAGGAGAGAGAGAGACTGAGAGAGAAGAGAATTTGAGAGAGGAGTGATGGTAAAAGAGGATCTCATCATTACCTGATTCCGTTGGGATTATATTCCTTTTTATTTTGCTTTTTTACTCTTCTTTTTTTTTCTTACAGCAGACAGTGGCGCGTGGCTGCACGTGCCTTCTGTTATTTTAGTTATTTTAGATTCTTTCTGTTATTATTATTTTCTGGCAAACTGTCTGTTATTTTTGGGTATACTTTGAGATGAAAATTGTACACACACTAAAGAAACGATAGTGAGGAAATGGAAAAAGATATGTAAAAATATTGAACGTCAATATCAGATGACTTCTTCCAACAAGCCACATGAGGTTTGGTGCTGTATGGGTAATTTTGTCATTTTCACTTAGAACCAATAATGAAATTATATGTTGCGACCATGCATGTAAAATTGCAATGCATTCTGTTGCAACTTTATAACTCTCTTCCTATCGTTCATTTCACCTTTTTTTCAATTTCGGTAAAATAAATACCCAAAATAATAAAATTCTAGAGACGAGACAAAATAATGTAACATGTATACTTTTTTTTATCCCTGTCATAAACAACCGGAATTATTTTAAATTTTTTAATTAATGTATTTTTCATATGTACTTTCATGTATATTCCTCCACTTAATAAAAGTATTAATCTTTAAAGAAAAAAAATAATGGATGTAGAGAAAAGAAAGGGTAAAAGATGAACGCGAGTCTTTAGATTGTGTTAAATTAGATGATTCGGATGAAGAATACTTCTTTATTTGTGATTAAATCGATGATTTTATCAATCCTTTCGTTTATAACATATCACATATGATTTTATCAATCCTTTCGTTTATAACATATCACATATGTTTATATATAGTTATAGGTTGTGCTTCTAGCACTACAAAAAAGAGGGCATATAACGTCGGTTATATTTCTATTTAACGTCACTTATAAACTGAAGCTAATGTATTATCGTCGGTTTTTAAACCGTCTTAACAATCAACGACATTAAATTTGTTAACTTCACTTGAACAAACGACGTTATGTTTAACGTCAAACAATTAACGTCAGTTTTTTAGTAATTTTAGCAACGGTTTTGGTTTGCTTTACAACCGACGTATTTGTTATTTTTTATTATTTTATGCTAATTATTTTTATTTTTATATATATATATATATAATAGATTATACACTCAAATAAAAATTCCAATTAATCACACGAATATGATTTTACATAGAATATATATCAGCTCCAAATACAATGTCACTAAAATTATAATATGAAAGATACAATTTTGTTATACAGTATTGTATAATCTGTACTGTCTTCATGATTTTTGTTGTACACTTCTTCTCCAGATGATGCTTTAATTAGCCTGAAATTAAATAAGGCAACGATTACATAACATCACCAAATAGACTGTAACAATATTTATTTGAAAAGACAACAATAAATCAGATTCAAATCCTAACTAAGGCATCGGGACAATCTGCTCATATCGAGAATGAAACAAATAAACTTGCAAGAAGGAACAAATCTAACAAACTTGAGACAATCATATTCAAATCCTAGCTGAGGCATTTATAAACAATCTCCTCACATCATCAATGAAACAAACAAACTTGCAAGAAGGAACCAGAAGCTATGGATGAATAACATACCAGTTTCAGGGCCTCCAAAGGAATCAGTGAAACCTATACATCAATGAGAAGCTTGTACCTTTACTTTAACGAAAAAATAGCTTCCATCAACAGCTTTAAAGGATAAATACTTAGTTAACATCAGTGTGGATAAGGACACGGACAAGCTTTCCATTACCCATCATAAACTGGTCCATCACATTGTAATCCCTGCTAGCACGTTAATGCTCAGGAGCCTTCTCTTCTCCCTTGAGATTCTTCCAAAGCTGGAAACAGCAAAAAAAAAACCAAAAGAAAAGTTATTGATGATGAACTGTACTACAAAGCATTTACAGAAAATCAGATAGAAGAACCTGATTGAGATTAAGCGATGTTGTTTCCCCACCATAGTAATCATTTCTGTCCATGTGAAGCACCTACTCGTAATATTCATAAAACAACACCATCAGCCGACCAAACCAATGCCTTGTTAAAACAAAAGGCTTCTTATTGAAATAACGATTGCAACAGTATCAGATCGTGGGAAAATCAAGAGATCAATGAATCATGGAAACTCAATGTAAAAGTGCCAAAAGCAATCGCATAACAACAAAGTCCCCTCATGGGTATATTACCAAAGGCAAAATCCAAAAAATCTTTGACTCCACTTATGTAGTATTGAGATAAACGATGTTTAGATATCCAAGACTTGTCCATTCTAAATTCAGTCTACTAATAAGGAAAACAAATGATCAATTATTGAGCTAACACGTCCAAGGAATGGCATCAGAAGAGATTTAAATGAGTACCATCAAATTTAGGTGAAGCAAAGAAGTAATGAAATAGCTCTTGGACTGAAAATGTTTATCTTTGAAAAGTGAGTTAGTTCATCATGAAAATTCAACACACCAATCTCTTACAGTTCTTACAGATTCAAACTACGATAGTTCATCATAAAAAAAAAAAGAGTTTATCTCTGACTAGTTAGCTAAAACGTCCAAGGAATGACATTCAAATGAGAAGCATCAAATTTTTCTGATATCAAAATATAATCTAATCAAAAGGCAATCTAATCAGAACTCAATCTAATCAAAACGAAATTCAATTGACAGATTGATTCAAGTAAAGATACAAAACCTACCTGGTTGAAGATCACCGATGAGTAGCTTATCCCTTCCCACGAACACAGATTTGTATGAAACTACGATGACAAGAAAAATTAAACTATTAGAATCAATCGATGTGATCATCATCATCAAACGCAGCAAATTTCTACAGAACGAACCTTTCCTGTCGAGCTATCACAGAAGAGAGCTTCTGAAACTCGGTGTTAGATCTGCCCGCATGTGTGCCTTTTGAAGATTGATTTCAAACAATTTGAAAGACAAAATCGATGAGAATTGTAAGGATTTAAAGCTGAAATCGATGAATGAAAAAGGATTTGAAGCTGTGGAGATGGATTCCCAATTTTCGTTTCGTAATCGAACTCGGAAAGAACTGGGAATGAAAAAGCATAAAAAAGAAAGGCATGTTATAACACATATCATATATGGACTCTTATACCGGCCCATTAGGTCCATCAGGGCATTGTACTTAACCTAGATTCCCTATGTACTCTATATATACATTCCAGTGATTAATAAAGTTTCTAAGTTTTCACAACACGTTATCAGCACGATAAGACTCTCTGAGCGAAAAACCCTAATAAATCCGGCCACCACCAAAACCCTAAAAGCAAGTCGAAACTTAAAAGACGCATATCTTCCAAACCGTGAGGAACCAGAAGACGATCTACATATCAAATCGAAGCCCTCGACGAGACGAATCTACTGGTGAAAACCGTTTGTCGATCCAACGTCGGACGCGCCCTCACGCACACTTACAGTACACGACGATCAACCGAAAAAAAAAAACCAGATCCGAGTTTTTCCTTCTTCAACCAGCAGCTTCTCCAGTTTTGGTGATCAATCCTTGGAATTTGTAGCGGCTAACTGAGGTCTATTAGCTCCCAGTTTCATTAGCCTGTCAGAAATCCAAAGGTGGAAAAGCAAATGGAAACCATAGTCGTAGATAGTGGATCCAGCCACACTATCTTAAGAAACAAAAGTTACTTCATAAACCTAACCTATCAAACCGCAAATATTAGCACCATCGCGGGTCCCTCAAACCTTATCGAAGGATATGGCCATGCCTATGTGTTGCTATCAAATGGCACACAACTTGAAATACCAGATGCTCTATATTCTCCTAGTTCGAAGAGAAATCTTCTGAGCTTCAAGGATATAAGACAGAATGGTTTCCACATAGAAACCCAAGGTCAAGGGAACAAAGAATCCCTCCTAGTCACTAAAACCGTAGACGGCCATAAACAAATCCTCGAAACCATACCCGCGCTCTCTACTGGACTTTACCATGCTAAAGTCAGTATGATTGAAGCTAATACCACTCTCAAAGCCCGGTTTACTGATTATACTATTTGGCACGACCGGCTCGGTCATCCCGGTGCAAATATGATGCGTAAACTAATTTAAAACTCTCAAGGGCATACCCTCAAAGAAAACCGAGCTTATCCTCAACACCTCATGTGCATAGCTTGTTCTCAAGGCAAATTGATCACTCGGCCTTCACCAGTTAAAATCTCTAAACAAACACTTCATTTCCTAGAAAGAATCCAGGGCGATATCTGTGGACCTATACATCCATCTTCCGGACCATTCCGGTACTTCATGGTCCTTATAGACGCATCGACCCGTTGGTCATATGTTTGTCTCTTGTCCTCTCGGAACCAAGCCTTCGCTAGGTTCTTGGCCCAAATCATAAAATTGCGGGCCCATTTCCC